CAAATACAGTTGTTTAAAAGGCTAAAAATGCCATAAAGAAGCTTAAATGTTGAATTTCAAAGCCAGTTGCCAGATACTTAATACTAAATCGAAAAACTTCACCTCACCCAGTACCTGATGATTTTTTGAGTATTCTCATTCCTACCCAATGAAAACCTAACATAAAATAACAGGTTTACAATGTACAATTAGTGGGTGGACTGAGGTTTTCATTTACTCTGGACCCGCATTTCTTTTAGAGTTCTACAGTTCTAATGGATGATTCATTACATGAATAAATAAAAATAAAATTCCTTTAAAGAATGTCCCCAGTCTCCAATAGCATTAACAGGAGGTACCATTGTGATTAACTAAAAAGTGGAAATCTGGGTCGGCTGTTTCATGAGATAAAAAGAAATTCCATACAAATCTCTTCCAAAATTTCAATGTAATGCATGTGCACCATTGGTAAGACGAGACAAGACGAGATCACTTTATGCCATATACAATTTCTTGTATTAGGAATTTGTCTGGTCGCATACCCTAGCTTACTCTCCATGAGACACACAGACACACAGACAGGGAGAGAGAAGCCTGGGGTCAGAGCGCAGGGTATGCCATTGTACAGCGCCCCTGGAGCAGTTGGGGTTAAGGGCCTTGCTCAGGGGCCCAACGGAGTAGGATTCCTCTGCCGGCCGTGGGATTTGAACCGGCAACCTTCCAGCCACAGGCGCAGATCATTAGCCACAGAGCCGCCCTATCCATGATTAATGTCGCATGGAAAGTAGAAGCTGACTGGGCCTTTATCTCAGTGTGCTGTGCTACAAAAAAGAGGTGATCTGCTTGTGCAAATGCCGAGGACAACAGGCCTGCCTAGTTACCGGATCAAAAATAACAACAGTGGTATTTAAATAAAACACCTGCATGAATTACTGAACCATGCCCATATCATGTAGCATTGTATGGCTTTTGGCTGAATGGTCCCATAAACATGTGTGAATGTCCAGAAAAGTTAATGCCATGGTGTGTAAGAGCTCCACTGATGGAGGCTGGCCAACCCCCATGCATTCTCCAAAGTTCTTGTAAGTCTTACAGTTCTTCAAAGTGTAAATAAACTGTTGTAGATTGGTGCAAATTGACAGAAAGACACTCATAATAATAGCTTCCAAGTAGAGACTGTGTTGCTATAATGCCTTCTTGGAAAGGAACAATGAGATGACAATCAATGACTTCACTTTTGGGAACAAAATTATAAGATTGTAACTTCAACATTTTAACTAATCATGCAAGATCTGCTGGTGTGGTACTTTTGGCCAAACAAAATGAATAATGAAAAAAATGAATAGTATCAAACTGTGCACAAAGATGTAATTATTTACTTTACTGGAAAGATTGTATAAACTTAACCCCTGCCCTCCTGCTGTTCAAGGTTTTTAACTGAGAAAAGAATGTACATCTGCTGCCAGCTTTGAAGTAACAGACATTGTCACTGATTCTAAAACTAGATTTGTTTTCTTTTGTTTTCAGAGCTTTGATTAAAAAGCAGTTTATCCGTTACCTTAATGATGCACTTGTGGGTTTGAAAAATATAATTTGATTGCTAATTTAAAATGGATGTCAAATATAAGCTCCACTTTTATTTTAAAAGTGGTCCCATGTCCTTTCTAACAGCACCATCTACTGGAGATTTCAGTTCAAATAAAACTTAAAGACTAGGCATACCTTGCGATAAATAAGCTTGTTTTTCCTTTTCACTGCTTAAGTAGATTCAAACATATACTCAAGTCATACTACAGCTATTGTTTTCAAAAACCACACACAAGTTGATCAGCCAGTGGTCTTATTTGCCATTGCAGTTAAAGGGGATTTAGTTTCATCAGGTACAGTATGTAGCAAGATAAGAGGTAATTCACAAGATAAAAAAAGTTTTTACATACTCACAGAATTCATGACATTTCTAAAATTAGTTTCCATTAAAACAAACAAAGTCAAGCCACTGGATAAACTGGAGAAAAGGGCACTTTTGAAAGCTAGTGTTCAAAGAAAGAATTATTTCAGTTAAATATTCTTGCATTGCAGTTGGCACTAAACAACAAATTCCTAAATTTTAACTATTGTTAATTATTTTGAAAAACAGGGCCATTTTAAAATAACTGAACTGTCATGTGTGGTAAGACAAATTTCGTCACAATACTCTGTTCATCTTCATCCAAAGCTGTTACAAGTTAGAAATATCTGAGTAATAACACTCTTTACCATCTGTAGGCCTTGCACAAAACAATGTAGAGATTCACCTCACGAAACTGTCAGCAGTTTCGTTTTGACTTCTTTATCGAACATAATCAGACATAAGTACTTTCAGTGTTTTCTGGTCTTTCTCACATCTTAACATCTGCAAATGCTATTATTATTTATAGCAATCATATTATCAGAAGATAGTGAATGCAAACAAAATGAAGGTATAGATGTAAGGTCAGATATTCCAAATATCAAATGGACATCTATACTGAGTAGGTCTCTATGGGTATGAAGGTAAGGTATCATCATGAAATCAACATTATATTTTACAGACTTACTATAGTTACAGAGTATGATAAAGATTGACTACCACTTACAGATGCAGCTGCAGACAATTATTGGCACAAGCTTCAACAATGTCATTATTTAATGCACTAAGTATAGTAATTACTGTTTGTTTATGCATCTGACAGTGATTTCCTGTCTAGGTGTCTACAGAAATCTATACACTTGCATAATTATTCACACCCGGTGACTTAAATTAGTTAATTCATTAGAATCTCTAACTATGATTTTCTAGGATGAGTGGTAAACTGTGAAGAGACAAGACTGATAAGTACACAGTTTAACTACATGCCTACTACATTAGTGAATAACATGCCAATGCTTATGTTAACATAGTTATATGGTTAGAGTTTAAAAGTACACACTGAAGTTTTGGTTCTTTTTGTGCAACAACATATAATAAAGAAAAAAATATTAACGTTTTCTTTTTAATTAGTTCAAACATTTCTCCTTGGTGAATTTACTGAGGTTAGCTATCACATATGATAAATAAGATACTGAGTCACACTTTCAACATCCTGTTTCTTCTTCACTTTCCAAGCCATAGCCAGAGCCTACAACTGACACAGCACCAGAAATCAAATACAGAAAGAGCTAAGATGATGCAACAAAGACAAACAAGCTCACATTCTCCGTTTTTGCTGAGGTTCTTTAGACAAGAATTCAAACCTCATAAGTATTAATCGGTTATTTCAAATAAAACATGAAGAGCTCTCTACATCTGCTACTGTATATAGAGTGCCTTGCAAAAATATCCACTGCTGTGTAAAGGTTACATATCTTGCTGAGGTCAGAGCAAGTAATCATGACACTATATTAAGAATCTTAAAGAAAGAAAATTAGATATTTCTCAAGTACTCAAGTATTCAACTCATTTGCTATGGCAACCCTAAACCAATTCTGCAAAAGGACAGCTTGAAAGGTGACAAAATTAGTATAATGGTTTCTGTGTGCAAACATAGTGCTCTGACTTGACTTCATTGAAAATGCATTTGTCTCTATAAATTCCCTCGGGTAGATATTGAATTTCAACCAACAACTCACATCATGATACAACAAATCGACCATGAAGTCGAAGGAGCTTTTGAAACATAAACATTGTCGAGAGGAACAAATCAGGAGAAAGTTACTTATCCCTTTTTAATACAATGAAGTCAAACATTCAGAAGTGGAATGTGCGTTATATCACCCAAGCATTACCTAGAGATCATCCCACCCTTCCAAACTGAGCAGCCAGGCAAGCAGGAAACTAGTTAGCAATGCCATTGTGAAATCAACAATGACACTGAAAGACCTGCAAAGTTCCATGTCTATGATGGAATTTACTGTTCGTAAATCCAAATTTCAAATCCACAGCATCCTGTGTGGATCAGTGGCAAAAATAAATGTTCAATGAAAGAAAAAAGTTTTCATCTTAAATCTTAAAAATCTTAGATTTCACGTGACATATGTGAAAACATGCACTTTTCTTATGTTCAAAGAATTGAACTTTTTGACCAAAATGCAAAGCATTATATCTGGCCCAACACAGCACATCAGTCAGAACCATCCCTGCTGTTAAACTTGCGAATATCAGCATCATGTTATGGGGATACTTTTCATCAGGGACTGAAGAAAATATGGTGCAAAGTACAGGCCAATCCTAAAGGAAAACTTAGCAAGACGAAACACAAAGTCAAACCCACACTGAAGTATCTCAACAAGAAGTGAGCTCATGTCCTTGAGTGTCCTTGTCAAAGTCCTGACTTGAGTCCAAGAGAAAATTTATGGTGAGGTTCGATTGCAGTCCATCAACTATTCCACACATAACTTATCAGAAGTACGTTTTACTTTGTTCATCTTCTGTGCAAGTTGTTCTGTCATTCAACCTCTTTCAAATATACAGTAAGAATGCAAAAGAACAGGTAGAGGTTTATTCCATGCTTAAAAGAATAGAGACACAACATGTCAGCTGCAAAACCTTCTTCAGATGTGGATCAAAACTTTACAACTTAATAGACCAATTAATGTTATAAATGTACCAAAGTATTAGAGCCAGAAGACACAAACACAGAACCCTCTGTTATAGTCCAAGATGCACTCTGGCCACTTCAATCACATGGAGTCTTAAGAACCCTACTCCAAATTAATCCAATATATAGTATTTTTTATAATAAAATAAAAGAAATTAAAAGTGCAGTTATTCGCTGGTAACTTACACCAGACTATGTAGTGACATTAAAACCCGTTTCTCTAGAAATATAACAAGCGTAAATAGTAAGTGGTCTATCTGTAACCTAATAAACTGGCAATTTTATTCATTTACTGGTTATTTTACAGATTATACAGCATGTTGATACATTTACTTCATTTGTTATTCTAAAGATTTACTGATTTTTCACTCATGCCTTAAAGCTGAGCGTCCAGCTGGTATATGGTAGCCTGACTGATTTTCTTACCTGGTATATTCTAAAGGGAATGTATCGGAATCCCCCCTCTTCTGTTGGGTATTCCATTAGTTTCCTGTTCATTGCCCAGAACTGGTCAAATTTATCTGAAGAGAAAAACAAAACATGCTTAGTTTACTGAAATCATTTAAAGCAAAGTTTTGTTGTTTTCCCAAACTTTTCCCACTGACATTACTGAGAAGGTGGGAAAGAATTCTGTTTTTTTTGTTTTTTATCCAGCGTAGATTCATCAGCTATCACAAAATTCGGAATCAGAAGCGGTCTTAGACTCACAGCTACAGCACCACACCCACACAGGGGGAATAAGTGCAGACAAGGTCTTCTAACCCATCAATTCATTTCAAGCATGCAGTAATGTACAGGAGGTTCAGCACTGACTGGTGGACAGGCGTGTCCCTCGCTTATATCACTGCAAGCTTGCAGGGAGTCAGGACATTACAATAGTCATTGTTTTGCTGTGGCCCAAGAGGGCTTTAGCCAACTAATCAAAATCCTATTCCCAACTGCACAAAACCAACTGTATACCACAGCTTGGAAATCCAAGTCATAGCCAATTAGTAACATGATCTGGGTCCATACTGCTCAACACGCAGAGCAAGCACCTTTGCTGTTTCAGCCACCTGGAGCCCCCCAAGAGTCTTATTTTGGGGTTAATAGTGCACAAGTGAGTATATGTGATTCAAAGACCATTACAACAAGGCAAACATAATGCTGCATTTCTCCATGTACCAAATTTTGGGCCACCTTAATTATACTACCTCATTGCTATCTATAGTGAAGTGATACTTTTTTCTGTTGCCTCCGTCTCAACAGATTTTCAGCTTTCTTTTTTCGGAACTGAAAAAGCAAGTTAAGGTGTTTCATACAAAAAGTGTTTTTAGCTTCATCTCAGTCATGCAAATCAGATTCTCAAAAGCATATCTGGACATATTGCACTGCAAAGCTTGAATAAACATATTTGATAGCATTTGGATGAAGTTACACCTGAACAAAAATTGTTGTCCTTTGTGTTATCAAGGAATACTTACAACCATTTTTATTTCTACAGCCTACCAAAAACTTTACAAAATGGAAAAAACTCAGATGAAATACATTATGTTCTGAAATGTAGTTGTAACATTTCTATGTAAACAGAATCTCTTTAATTTCTAGATCAATTGATTTTCCCCCAAGAGTATTAGAATAAGCTTCTGGAAACTTTCTCAAACATCTTTGCTGGAAAACACACATAGAAACACTCTGATGTCATGCCAACTCATGAACCGATAAAGCATTATTAACATAACCCAGTGCAAGTCTAATCATAACCTCCTCAAGTATTTTTATTTTTATTTTGGCTCCACTAAGCATCCTCAGAAGTTATTTTATAAGCATCCAATAAAGAAATCAAGTATTCTACGCCACCTGCCACAGCAATTGAAGAAGCAGAAAAAATAACTGTATGATGATTTTTATAGATTGCTCACCATAGACCAAAGTCATGTACTTCATTTCTACAGAATTTTAAAATTCACTGCAGCCTCAGATGTCAAAGGCTGAGTTAACTTGGGAATGATTACAAGCAAGATGCTAAAATTCTGCCTTTGAGGACTGTGAATAGTTAAATCAGGTCCTCTCATTCAGAAAAGCGCTTGTTGCCTATTCTCACCTGGCAAACGCCAAACACATTTCAGTTTTTACGGGCAGGATGAGTAACCTTTTTGTAAACCACATCATGGAAAAAAGATGAACAGTATTCTCAGCAGGGAGAGAACTAGGTTTGTGCATGAGACTTTAAATCAGAGCTTCTTGACATTATGTAAAATTTGTTTTGATTTTTGCAGGTTAATGTTTCATATTTTTATGTTCAGGTGTAGTATATGATGTGTTATTTACCACAAATTGTAAAAATGGTAAATTTGCTAATTCAAAGCATACTTGCTGGTCTGAATTCCACTAGCACAATCAATAGGTTATCACATTTTATAAAGAGCTTCTTTAATTGTTAATACAGTAATATTTGATTTAAAAAGGCCTTCGTGCACACTATAAAAAAGTGTTTTGCTTTTTTTATTTTACAAAAAAAATACTGAAACTAACAATATATTTCTAGTGTTTTCCTTTTAAAATGATTAAATTAAGTACTTAATGTCTCGGCTAATACAGTAATATAGTGTGTGCAACAGACTGACTAACTGAAGAACCGCAGATTGTGACCATTATTGGCTCATTACCTGCTAAATCACATTAAGCTATTTTGAGCATATAACGTCAGTCATTTTAGCAGATTTTGTTTTATAAAACTGCAGTTACACCTGTGCTATTCTTGATATAGTATGCCAAGTCACTTTTGGACTTAATACTCCTTTCAAGCCTGACACTCATACTCACTGACAAAACAAGCAAACGACAAATGGGCATGGACAAGCCCATACAGAGATTGCTTGGCACCCAGTGCCACCTCAAAAACTATCAAGTATGATAGGAAACGTTCTCATGCAGACCTACACAAGCCCTAATTTTGGATCTCACAGCTCTACTCTGACATAACTGCCCCTGAGTACTGCTTTCAAAAAATGAAGAGATTAACATGCAGACCTATCTTAAAAAAAACTGAGTCAAAGGTAAGAGCTCCTTCAACATTCTGCAATTTAAGGCAAAGTATACAGGAAAATCCTAAACATAAAAAATCTAAGGTGCTTAAGAAGTGCCTTTTTAAATACATACAGTACAGTATATGCAACTACAGTATGACATGATTTTCAGTTAATATAACAAAAACCTCTTTTAGATTATAACTGATGTTAAATCCAATGTATTGCAACTAAAGTTACCAATTACAATTACAATGAAAGACTTCTTTAACATTAGAATTTAGAATAATCCATTCATTTTCTGGGTAGATGGCAGACTAGAGTTTTTTTTTCCTTAGTGAGCCTGCAGATGGAAGGTCAGAATGCTTTCAATGTGACGTTTCGCTGACTGAAACTGAAGGGTCATGTTTGCATGTTTAAGACTGAGATGCGTTTCACAGCACCAGGTGGAGTATTTTGTGATCAACAGTTATCGCAAATGCTACTTTCTTTTTTCTCTTGTGGTTATATATGGCTTAAATGAATTCTTTGGGAGTGGTGGTGTTACAAGAATCAGAAAGATGAGTTATAATCTAAAACAAGTATGTCTTGGTTTCACTAGCTTTTCTTATTTCTCCCTTACAGCTGCTGTTTTTATATAAATTTAGAAGTTGAAAGTTTTCAGTATAATTTGTCTTTCTTATTTCGTTTTTCTCTTTTATAAACCTTCACATGTTGTTTTGAGAGCACTTCTTCAACGGTTTGGTTTTGGGGGAGAGAAAATAAACTTATGAAATTTAGTAAGTATCAGAACATTTTGAGTGACGGGTCAAAGTAACTGCTGGAAAGATTAAATTTGTTGTTAATTCATTCAGAAGGTCCTAACAGTCACTTTATCAGTAAAGCTGATAGGATTTACTGATGATCTTTAAATCTTTAACCTTCCTTTAAACAGCCTCACTGCACAAAGAAAAATAAATTAGTGCCTTATATTTTGGAGAGGAATCTTATGCTTTTCTGAGACTGACCTGAAATTTTACATTTTAAGAAAACACAGATGCCTTAATTCTTTTAAGGTTTCTGCAGAATTATATTTTTACCAGAATCCTACATATATTGTTTTTCTAGAAGTCTCTTAAACTTGCTCTCAACAATTACAACTATTTGAAGTGCAAATACACTTCACAAGTCACAGTATTGTCAGCTCACAGCTCATCTGCAATGTGTCCTAATGTAAGTCCCAGTCCTGATCCTAGAGGCTCATTTACCTACATAGGGTTTTTTCCCCAATTAAACTTTTGAGTGTTTTCAGTTCGTAAAAATTTTGGAGGTTGCCTTTTAACTATTGTCCATTACTTCCTCTTTAAAGGAGCACTTCACTTCCGAGTATTCACCAAAATGAGTTGTACATACCTATTATTGTTATATGAGTTAAATCCTCCCACTAATACAAGCTCTAACAATGTATTTTTCATTCCTCTCAGCTGTTGTTGTCTTAATATCAACAGAAATTGTAAGGGAATTAAAGTGGTTATGGTGGAGAATAATTATTTTGATTATTAATGACTAAATACTTAGTCGTTAATTGTTAACTGTTTATACAATTAAATGTTTCATTCAGCTCATGTGCCCTTTGATTGTATAGTATCAATATCATCAGGCAGCTTGATGCTCGCTTACTTTTACAGTTATGTATTTTTTAGCTATTTTTTTTTCTTTAGTATGTAATTTTGATTAGTTGATGTCATATTTATTATTCATGTGTACTCTCGAGAACATGCACATTTTACTTATTTAAGTGCTTCGTTAGACATTTAAACAGAAGCTTGCACAAAAAAGAATTCAAATACATTAGAAAGTACCTAAACTCTGGTTTAAGGTGAGTTATGAGCAGTGGGAATGAACCAGAGATGTTTACATGTATTTTAATGGCAATGGTGTATATAGTATGGGATGAGTATATTTCAAAAGTAACATACCAAACTTTTGTGTAGACAAAACTTGCAAATGTTCCAATCAAGCAACCGTCAGTTAAGGCTTCGGTTAAGAAAAGAGCTCAAATAATGAACACCACAAAGGTGTGTGGACCTCCAAGAACAGGATTAAGAACCTTAGTCCTAATGCACAGTTTTATGTTGTCGCATTAAATATTACTGTACAATTTATTGGACAAAGATAAACAGCTGTAAATACAGTAAAATTAACTGTTACAGTTAAATAAACTGCTACTGATGGACTCTGTCAGTGGTTCTATTCTTGAGAATACAAGAAGTCGCTTGCATTTATTCTTTGCTGTATAAGAAAACCACTATATGGAGTGAAAGGTTCATACAAAACAAAATGAAAAAACTAAGTATAAACCCAAATAGATTATTAAAAAAACTAAAACAAGCAGCATACAGTCTACTCCCTCTTTACTGCAACAGGCCTGAAGAATGGACAGTGGACAGGGGACACATACAAGAACTATAATTATCCTGTTTGTGGACAATTTTACGTATCAAGTTCAGATACAACACTATCAGTGTTCTCTCCCACGCAGCACTGTAAGAAACATGATTTCCCAACAGCAATTTCAATCTATGCTCACGGAAAAACAACATTGGATGCCAAGCAGTGAAATAAACTCTTATGTAATCTTATTCCAATCAACTTGAAAAACTATAAAATGATCAATATATCCTTAAAGGAAACTGTACCTATCTTTTAGCTGTTGGGGGGGGGTAAGACTATGTATGAATACATTTGTATCTTTTCTGGAAATAAATGGAAAAATGAACTTGCTATTTCATAACTTGATCCATTTAAATTATTACAAATAAAAGAAACAAAGGTTCTAGAAAAACTGTTGGAAGATCTCACCATTCTGCAAGCCCATCCAAAGTTGCTTATGGTCTTTCTTCTGCATATCATTGATGACTTGTCCTTTGTGCTTCAAGGTATCTGCTTCTTTAATGGTGGACATGAAGTGAGCTTCTATTAAGGAATTGGAAGGGCAGTGCAGAAGGTCTCTCTCAGGGAAGTTCTGTCATTTAAAAAGCGGGAAGATTAATTTGACATCTACCTTATGGCATTTGGCTATTTGTGAACAACATTTTTCATTTTTTAAAACAAATTTTAGTTTCAAACATATTACTTGGTTGAGAGTATTGTTTTTATACCCTTCTCTGCACATCATCATATTCAGTGTTTAAACATGATTAGAAACATGATTTATGATCACAATGTGGAAAATACACCAGCTTTACTTTCCATCCTGTTCATTTTGTCAGTTCTTGTAATAGTAACAGATTTCATTTTACTGTGTTTGCACTTGCATTCCTGAATATTAACACTAACTTAAAAGCTATTCCTGAAAAGGACATCTTCAATGCCAAACAAAAGAGTGGAAGCATTTCTTATATAATAAGTAAGCATAGATGTGCTTTTTTATAAAGCAGCTATCAGTGGACAAACAGCCTTATGTGCTGATCCAATCTGACTGACAACTTAAAAATGTCCAAGACGGTACAGGATTATTGCCATTATACCACAAAATGTTAAGGAAGAAATCTATATGGGATCCCCATCCCAGCTGTGGAGCAATTATTTTCATATTGCACTTTTTTTTATTTCCCTTTTCTACTGTACAATGTTTGCCCTAAATCATGGGTGTCCTATGTAAGAGTACAAAGGAAAGGTTGAAATGATGGTGTTTAGTAATTAGTAAATTACAGAATGTAATCATTTGATGAATTACAGGTGAATTTAGTCCACTGTGGCAACAGGAAATCTTGGTATTTGGATGTCAGCCTTTCAAGGGAGCCCAAAACAGCGAGATCAATCAGAATGTGTCACAGCTGGTAAAGAAGGAAAATCAGTGTGCAATAAAAATGTCACCTTTTAGGTTTTAATGTAACTTTTTAAAGAGCTTTTAAGATTATTTATAAACAGTATTAGCCTACATGTTTTTATAAGGAGCACACATTATTACATGATTAATATGAAAAAAATCCAACATTATTGTGATATAACACTGCTACACCCGAGACAAAAACCAACCCAATCTCTAAAAAAAAAGGATTGTGAATCAAGTGACAGAAAATTAGAAGATATACAACAATAATGTGCTCTGTTCTGTAGATAATATATTGTTAATATAAACCATTGTGCATGTTCCACTTTCATAAAACTTTGAACAATCCAGGGGAAAGTTGTATTTTAATCCATTACTGCCCTCTAGAGACAAAAACACGATTTAACATACACAGAAGTTTCAGTGCTAACATTCATGTTTTAGATCAACTGCACCCACACCAGTCATCCAAAATAGGCAAAACAAACCTGTTTTCTGCTCTCTCACTTACACTCCCTAGCAAAATGAGCACCTGCAAAATGGTGTTGCAAGAATCCCATTTTCACATCCAAATAATATTTTAAATGATTATCAATGTGGTAAGCCCATATAATGCTAATTGTTTGGCATTGTTTAGTACTTATTTTAACAAATACTTTAAGATATTGTTAAGTCTAACAATACCTAATTAATAACAAAACACATTGCCTGCAATCACTGTAAAACCACCTGGACCATGATGGAAATATTGTTACAAGTCAATTAAAAGGTTATGTTCATTCTATTGAAAAGATCAACAAAATATTCAACAATTACACAGCCTTAACACATCATGTTGCCAAAAACATAGACATTCTAAGATCCTTTTCTTCTAATATCATTTTCTTAAAAGGATTTTGCCAGATGTTCATGAACTCTTTTAGGCAGTCTCAAATCAATTACTTCAGGTTGCTATTGAACAATAAAATTCAACTGAAGTAATACAAAAAAACAAATAGGAGAAGTAATGCTACCTGAATGACTTTAGCAGACAATAGTTACGTCCACACACACACAACCACAAACAAGGCATATTCTTTAGCTCTCACACACTATTTTTACTAAAGTGATATAAAAACATAATTACTAAAAGAGAGAGATTCAAATTGGAGAGCAAAAAATGACAGCAATATAATAAATAATAATAAAAATAAGGCAAGACAAGATGTGTTAGGAAACAGAGCAAACTAGCTCATTACTTGATTTAATGGTTTTCCTACCTAACTTTAATAATTGGAAGAAAAACAGGGTAATAACTTTCTTTGTTTAATTTGGCATATTGTTCTGTCTGAGATTTATGAAAGTGAATATTTTCAATTAAATGTAGACATAAAGAGAACAGAAATGTGAATACAATTTGAACAAGAAAACAATGAGAATGTCTACCTTGAAATGTACTGTGATGCTCCAAGGAAGGGCTACATTAGAGGCATGAAGATCAAATAGCAAACCAATAGGATAATGCCTGAAAAAGGAGGACAAAATTCTGCCTATAACAAACTTGTATAGTCACACAAGTATGGCATATAATATTAAAATGATATGGCTTTAGGCCAGTGGTTCTCAAACTTTTTGGACCAAGTACCACCCCTTATCAAACCAAAGAATCCAAGTACCACCTACAAGTCATCTTCTCATAGGAACCACAGAAAATCTCAATGACCAACATGAGCGCATGTGCACGCACACACTCACACATATAATAAAATAAGGAACAAGTAATAGGTTTATTCCATGCTGAAAAGAGAGGAGAGAAAACACAACGTTTTGGCTGTGAAGCCTTCTTCAGGTGTGTCGGGGCTAATAAAAATAGTCCTGAGCACTTAGTTAACTTGGATAGTACCACCTTGTAGCCATTTTCCGACGCTTGCTAGCACTAGCAGTGCTGTCTGTGTCAGGTTCAGCAGGAGAGCTAGTGTCAGTGGCCGCTAGAGTCACTTTTCTCGGCCATGTCCTCTATTTTTATCCTTATATCTCCGTCCAGGGGGAATTTTCATATATCCAGAAATATCCAGGATTTCGATCCCATTATTTTCACCATGAAGAATAATTAACAAACGTTATAAAGATAGAAAGAGAGAAAATTTCTTAACGTCTCTAGTTTACTTCGTGACCTACGATGTCATTCAGTTTTCGTCCTGTATATGTTTGATGAGGGAGCGAAATCAGGCATCAATATCAGTGTCTTTACTCAGTCTGTGCAGCGGAGAAGCATTCCCTCGAAAGGCTCCCTATTTTTTTCCTTGTTTTCCTTCCCTCAAACACAATGCCAAAGCGAAACTAAATTCACAGCAGAACTAAAAAATAAATTTCAGTGTTTTCGAAGTGGCAGAGCAGAGTGGGAAGCTGAATGTACTTTTGTCTCCGTGGCGAATCAAGGTGTACTTGACTTGAAAGCTCATGTTGACTTAGACAAACACAAAAAGGCAATTCAAGGAAAGAGTTCGTCAACCAAATTAACAGATTATTTTGTAAAATCTGGCAGCAAAATAGATAATACTGTTATTGCAACAGAGGGGACATAGAATTTCACACAGTTAAACATCATCACAGTTACTTTACCAATGGAAATTAAACGTGGGATATTTTGAAACCCTCTCCATCCTCCATTCGACCCCCTTCCAAGATAAGGCAACAGTAAATCTCCTCAGGGTGTCCTCCTTGGATGTTCAAATATGGTAAATCCCTAGTGGCCGATGTACTGTATAATCCTCCTTGTTCTCAATGGGTGTGCGTGATCTATTGGAGCTAGCATCAGTACTCTTGGCATCTATTCCTTTCAGCCATGAAATTAATACTTGATTTTTGCGAGGAATTCATTTTTGATCACTTGTTCTGTTGGCGAATGTGGTGCTGAGCTGTGTCTCTGAAAGCTCGAGTATGAACACTCAAGTATTATCGCGCGCTGTTTCAATGTAGCTAAGTACATAGGCTGCATATTTGACACAAACTAATTTTATTAAAATAGAAAATATGAAAACCCGTCTCAAGCTTTCTGAAACCGATTAAGCAAATTACAGATGAAATAAATACATTATTTTTAATTATTCAATTTTTAATTCCCAATTTTTCAGTGCACACAACAAATTTCCAGGGCTATCTGGCGTACCACCTGGGGCTCTCCCCGTTCCACAGTTTGAGAACCACTGCTTTAGGCAATCCATTTTTAAAACTAGACAAGTATTCCACCTGGTGGCTGTAACAGTGCATGAATACTGCTACCAGAAAGACTGATATTTATATTTGAATTTAGACTTATTATTCTTCTCTTTTAATTAAATAATTTATGAACACCATCATGATCATCACACATTTACAATCAATGCAAGGCCAGCTGACTAAAATAAACACCTTTGATGTTACAGTAGGTATTATGAACTTCAAGATTTGCCAAAGATCTCGTAAAATAAAGTTTTTGTCTTCTAGTCCCATAGGTACGCTAACTCTATGAGGTATAGAAGAATATGTCTCAATTTACTGTTCGTCCTGTTCGAATTTATTACATGTCCCTTGAAATAAACAATGCACATAATCATTCCTAACTCTAGGGGGCGGATTACCAACTTTCATTATTTAATATTTGTTACAATTGGTGTCAGGATTCCACATTTAAAACCTTCTCTTTATAACAACTGTCAAAACACCACACCACAATAATTTACAGTGTATAATATATACAATTGGCACTCTCTATGTGAAACTTGGTTATTCACTCATTAAATGTAGTTCTTAATTTATATCAATACTTACTTTAACCTCATTGATCTTTCCTTCATCCACCATACAGTACATAAGATGTCCTTTTGAATTACATAATTAAAGGTAAAAGGTACCAATACGTTCAGAAATATGAAGATGTGTTCTAATATAGCAAAGATCCTTGTATTGTAAAGTTCTATTCAATCAACTTACCACTTCAGAGGGGTTCCTTCATATTCAAACCACATCTCTTCCATATCCTCCTGCTTCATGACCTTTTGGAAGTGCTTTTTCACTTTATCAGTAACAAGTGTTATGTAGCTGACTCTTGGTAGAAGTAACTGCAAAAGTAAAATGAAAAGATTCCAATTACGAAACAGTTCTGCATATAGAATGCTTAACAGCAAATCTTAGTTAAATTAACTAAAAAACACTTACTAAGTACCTTAAATATTTATTCTAAAAGTGCCCAAAAGAGAAACATTTCCCCATTTATATTTTACAGATGACATTACAAGGTGATTTTAAGAAATCTGAGATAAAAAATAAACCTGAACTTTGAACTTAGTTAAATAAATGCAGTTATCTCCAAACATCCTCCCCCCCCAATAAAACTGTTTTTATTAGTTTTTTTTTAATACTCAAAATGTCAATCATCACAAAAAGTAGTTTTCAATTTTTAGCCAAATGTAACTATTTGGGCCTATTTCATTTACTAACTTGTGAATGATATTGTTGGATCCATAGGGTGCCATAATGCCTATTACTATTTACGCACTTTTCTCTCTGTGTTTAACCTGAGGCCTTATAATAATTTCCATTGTAGTCTTTTATGGTCAACATACTTACATAATAGGGTTCTGCCTCCCTTTCCGTTATTTCATCCTGATATAAAGTGAAACATGTGGGTATTCGCCCATACCACACATCCCGAAGAACATCTTTGTCATCTGCCATTCTTTTGGGATATACAGTAGCACATACAGAGACACAGTTTTCAATTTAAATTTCCTGAAATGAATAAAAACCATTTTATGTCTTGTTAGTTGTTAGTTTGTAAAAGTCTGAATAAACATATAAGAGGTTGTCCAATTGTCTAATATTTTACACCCAAATAAAGTTTATTGTTAATAACTTAATCATTATTATTATTATTATTGTTATTATTATTGTTATTATTATTATTATTATATGGATATAAGAGAGTGACACACACAAAGGATATGTTTTGAATGAAGTGAGTCGAAACAATAACATTCTTCAGTTAGTAGGGAAAATTACTTATTTTACAGAAACAACAAGTCACATCCTCAATGTCTAAAAACAAATACAGTACAATTAATATCAGCACTACTGTAGGTGAAGAAGTTTGGGTGGATCTGATACCGTTTAACGTATTACAATAGTAAATGCAAAACCTAGCAAGTTGCTCATTGAAGTTACTTTGCTACAGAAAACTGCAAGTATTTGCATATTTCACGAAACTCCGATAATTTTAAATCTATATTTAAAATCTGTTTTTCACACAACTGTGTACACAGATTTTTAAGCATTGTAAAATACCATTAATACTTGTACAACAGTGTTAAATAGCTATTTGTTCTACTGTACCAGCCCCTTCTCTGAAGACTTATTTACATAATGTTTACGTTTACAAACTGTATTGACATAACCAGCCAGATTGCAATTTGTTTTTCAACAGACTAACTGTGCCAACACAGTATGCCTATTACTCATTGAACACAGCAAAACACTTCCTGGGTGCATTATGGACTTGTCTCTTGCAAAAAAACAACGCATCTACGCAGTACGCTATGAATTGCATTACTCAAAATTTTACCTGAAACTTTTCTGGACAACCTTCAACGTTATGATTCTGTTTTATTAAGTTATTTAATTTTAAGCTCTCTGTTAACAGTCTTGTAATCCTCCACTGAAGTGAAAGTAACAGAACCATTAACCGTGCTGTCAGAACAAGGCCCCAGCAATGCCATTCGCTCGCTTCCTGAATCACACACCAGAGAGAAAACAAGAGGAGACGTGCTCTCCTGAGCTCAGAGGAAAGGCAAAGACTGACACCATGCGGACAGAGAGCATAATTCAGTCTTGGAAATGGTTCTTGAATGTCAGTACACCCTTCTCCAACTCGGTTCTTGGCGGGCCTCGTCTTCTGGGTTTCGTTCCAAGCTAAGTACTAAATTAAACAATTAACATAGTACATGAATAAATGTAATTGATGCGATAATGCGACACATTAGCTGAAATAAACTTAATAAAATTATATTCCCTGACCGGGAATCGAACCCGGGCCGCGGCGGTGAGAGCGCCGAATCCTAACCACTAGACCACCAGGGAAGAACTGATAGCGATACAGAAATAAGGTTGTACATAGTTAAAGATGAGTAAACTCTGCACTGATTTTATGGCCGAGTGCAAAACGCGGTTGCACTGACTTGTCTGATGACATCGCGTTATCAGCTGGCCACTATTCTCGTGTTTTTTACACAACTTTTAGTTGTGTATAAAGTATAGCGTAAAATCGATCTTATAAATATAAACAAACTTAATTTCTCGATAAAATATAAATGGGTGTACAGTATTCAGACACTACATGCAAAGAGTGTAAAATGAATCTCAAAGCAAGAAAAAGGTCTACATCACTCGTCACTGACAAACACCACAAGACCTTTATGCCTAGAGATACTGGTTTCTATTTAAATAAGTAATTGTATTTTATTATATCGTTACCTGTATAAATGATACATTTAGAATGTTCAGTGTGGTAAATATTTTGATGTTTATGAACGATAATTCCTTTGTGTATTTTTTCTATCTTTTTAACTTATTTTCTGTTTTATATTTAAGTTCTTTAGATGCCAGATGGCCACATCACCTTTGGATTTATTCTGTACCAGGAGCCAGTGCAACAGATGTGTGCAAGCAAAAGTCAGAACAGCACCTTTCCTGCAGAGCATTTTTGGCTCTTAGTTGCAACCTCATCACACGTGTCAGCTCTGAGCAAGCTGGGTAGCAAGCCTGCAACATAAATTGAATAAGACATAAAAGCTATGAATATATTAAATGGTATATATGTAACAAAGTACAATGTATTTACTGTAAATTAACAATTTTCCCATACACGATTAACTAGACTTCCTAACAGGCCTGACTGTAGTCATTAGTAATCAGGAGTTTTGATACCAGGAGTACCATCATTGTCGAACCAGCATCTGTATTTTCTCTATTTAGGTTATATGATATTTGTTTACTAGCATATTTTATTTTAAGTGTTTTAATCACTGTACAGTTTATTCAACATAAAATCATGTTTGTATGTTTTGAATGCAAAACCAGTGTTTAATCAGAGCTATGTACTTGACATGGACATGAGTCAAGGTGCATAAGGCAATTTACAATGACTGCAAGTGATCAATTATTTGTGATCAACATCCTGGAGTCCTTGCACTGATTCTTATATGATTCTTAGGTTTCATTTCAAATTCAAAATCCTCATGTTTACCTATAAGGCTCTGGATGGCTTGCACCACAGTACCTGTCTGATTTAATATTTTCTACTCCCCAAGCACAACCTTCTGGTCTCCTGTCTGTCCCCCAAGCTTGTCTACACTCTAAGAGTGATAGGGCCTTCTCCTGTTCCGCCCCAAAACTCTGGAATTTTATCCCCAAGGATATCAGAATGTCACCTTCCCTGAGCGCTTTCAAATCCAGACTCAAAACCTTCTTCTTCAGAAGGGCTTTTACTTAATTGATGTCTGTGTCTGCCCCTTAGCATTTTCTACCACATTTAAAACCCTTGTTTTTTTATTGTACTAACATTTTTTATCACCTATTATTATTATTTTTCTTTTTGTAAAGCGCTTTGGGAAGCAACTTTTAAAGGTGCTATATAAAATAAAGTAGTTTTTGTTATTATTATTATAATTATAACTACTAATACAATACCCATCTGGACTAGAAAGGTAAAGGAGTTTCCTGGTCTGTACTTGGCAAAAGAAACTGTTCCTTCCTGACTTTGGTTTGTAGTGCAGTCAGGTCACCCTAAACAAGATATGTTTGTCTTTTTTTAAGTGTCAAAAATACAGAAGCTGTTGAATACTTATGCAAGCAAGAGAGTTGTTCAGTTAAGGGAGCTCTGTTCTTTGAGGGATGAAGTATATTTGTTTTTTTCTTCCAAATAATTCTAAAATGTTATTCCAGAAAATTGCATGTTGAATTATTCATGCTTACATTGCTTTGTCTTTAGAAATCAATAATTCATGGTTATCTACTAAATCTTCGGGATCGGGACTCTCCCCGGGATCAAGGTTGGAGAGCCCTTATTTACTCTGAATGGAACATTAAATATCTACAATATTGCATCTACAGCTTAATTGAAATAGTTTAACACTTTCTCCAAGCTCTTCAGGTGCTGGTTTTAAAGAGAATTAGAAAACTTAGAAGTTCAGAATTTGCAGGACTAAAGCTGCGAATGGAATGCCACAACAGAAAACAAAGAGAAGATCTGGCCGAGGTGCTGGAAAAGTCCGAATGAAATGAACAATGACTGGGGTGCAAATGGAGCTAGTCTGGCTGCAGAGTTGTTGTTTTTTTGGAGGGGGGAGGAGGGGTTTAAAGAGCTTGGGAACAATTTAATGCTACAGAATCCATTAATTCTGTTGACCAGCAGGCAGGGGTTGAATGAGGAAATTAGAACTGGAAAAAGAACACATCTTCTTCTAGAACATGCAAAACAATGATTTCCCGTGAATTTCTCAGTATGCAGCCCTGTCCTTACTAGTGCTAGAGAGCAGGAAGCCCTGAGTTAAAACAAATCAGTGCCTGGCAAAGGTACACAACAGCTAAGAGGAAAAATACTTAGTCCATGTCCACTGTTTATCAGTCTTCTCTGCCCTTCAACAATTAGAAAAAAAATCCCCCCTGGTCTCCTTTTTTTTTACTTTTTACTGCACGTCTCACTGACTGTACTGACTGTACTGTATGTATAACATTGTTGTATTATTGTATCATTTCGTTACACTGTGCTGTGTTGACTGTACTAAGCTGCTGTAGCTCCCTCACTTGATCAATAAAGTATCTATCTATCTTTATTAGGCCTACCATGCTATGACTGGTCATTATTCAGTTAACTGGGAAAATGAGGTGATGTAGATATTACTACATGAACAGTGGGAGCCTGGGCATATGTGTGACCCTGTTACAGTCAAAGATAAATACTGAGATATCGCTTACATTATTCACCACGGAGAACTGTTGGTAACCGTACAAGAGTGCTGAATTCTTAAACAAGAGTGTTTGGAAGAGGCTGGTGCTTTAGTGGACTTGCAAAATACACTTTTTTTTTCTTTTGACCCAGTCTTCCAACTCATTACTTTGAGTAGTAAACTGGACTGGCAATGCTGCCTCACACTTTAATTCTTTCTCTGGATTATGGACTTGACTTTCACAGAATGTCTTCTTAACAAGAAGAATCCCATAGCATTTCTGCTCAAACCACATTCATAACACCACGGGAGAAGTATTGACATGAGGCAGTCAGTCAGATTACTTCTAACATTTTCAATGTGCAGCATGGAATGAGATTATGTTATGCTCTGTTTAGTAAGACATTGAGGCCTCAGGGAGGTAAATTGGCTAGAGAAGACAGCACTGCATATTTAGACAACAATATATACAGTATTATTGGACCAGAACAGCTCCCCATTTCTGAAGCTGGACTTGCCTCGTCTTGTCATGTCCAAACAGCACAGGGCTGGCAGTCTCATGACAGGTTTCCCACCTCAGGAGATCTAGGCTAGCTTTCCCAGTGGCAGCAGCCATTAAGGACTTACCCTGTATTTGTGCCGCTGCCAGTCAGACCTCAAATACATTCACAGGCACCCTTCTTGACAGGAGTAAAACTTCACAAAGTAAAACCCTGCACAAAAGAATGTAAACAGATGAAGATGTTTTGGATGTTCACCTGGAAAGAAATATAAGTCCCTTGGCATACTTGACTACTGGCATGAACCCTGGACTTGCCTAATGTAGCTCAAGAGAGCCTGGGTTACACTTTAGTGGGTTAGACTAAAAAGCTGAAGTCGCAGAACTGATGCTGTGTATAACAAGTGCACACTTGCTGTAATCATATAGTTCTGCCTATGTCTGTATAATAAATCTAAAAAAAAAACTTTTATCATCTCTTGTATTATTACTAAATTGATTTACATATGGAAAAAGTTACATGAAACAGCGTTTATGCCATTGTTGAACCTGCAGGATATTTTATCATATCTGTCTCCTTTCGATAAATACCATACAAAGTGTTAGTAATTTAATTCTCTTGTTTGCCTTTCCATGATTTACCATTGTAATTGGTAAATCAATTCACATTGTAACTGGAAAAAAACACATTTTCCTGTATTGGTTGTGTGAGTTCCTTGTATTTGTGTACCTCTGCCGTTATATAACCACACTGCAATATTTAAGTGCAGGGAGACTATTTCCCATCAGTACGCAAATCCATTATGCATTGCCCTCTGATCTGTTTCATAATTTGCTGTGTTTGCAAAAGACTGAGGGATAATTTGATGCTTCAATAAAGCTGAGTGCTTTTTTGTTTGAAGACGTTATCATATGGTGCATCTACACACTAACAACTGCTGTACTATACTACATTTAAAGACAATTGCATGATACTTTAGTATTAGTTCAATTACATGAATATAATACATTAGATTTCATCCCTGCATTTAATTTTAAACGCATATTGTAGTGAAGAAAAGATTCAGTGATGAACACGTCAACTACAAACTACCAGATGGGTTAAATGAGTAAAATGGCCTCTCATTTATAACCTTCCTAATGTTCTTATTTTAAGTGGCCTGTTCCCAGCTACAGATGGTTCTCACTATTAATAATTTGACTAATACTGGTCTTCTTCCCCTTGGTATGATCAAGCTAGGCATTTATGCTTTTTGAATGTATTGCTTTCCAGTGTGTCCATAATTAAACATTTTAGAAATGCTAACAAAACACTCTACTTTCCATATAACAAAACAAAAGGATATTGTAGATGTAGCCCATAATGTACTCAAAGGTTTGTTGGGCTGTTGATAGAAGATGAAGTCTGTCACAGTGTTCCGTTGTCTTAATGGAATAAAGAGAAAAAACATGGGAACACCAAGTCTTAAAAAGGATCCCCCCTGCTCCTTTTATCCTAGTACATTAATAAAGATCACAGAGCTGGAGTGTGCCAGAGTCCAGCCAACAAGAATTTGATCCAATTAAACTAAATGAGCAGGTCTCAGGATTTTGAATAGAGACCGCCCAGGTCGCTATATTATCTTTTAATTGTTACAGCTGATGGTGTTTTTCAGAAAACATGGTATCAGTCTGTATCTTTCTTAAGTCTTAAGATATTTCTTAAATTAAGTAAAGGAAAATTTGTTCTCAGTGGGGCCTGCTCTATCTCGTTAAGAAAAGCTTTAAAAAGAGACAACTCTACCTTTAAAAACACAAGGCTGAGAGAAAAAAAACTTGTTAGACTTCCATAAAGTATTTTATTTAAATTTCAATCTTCACTGACTAAATGTAAGGAAATATATTTTAAGGTACTGTTTCTGACGGAATCATATTGATCATTTTTGCTTTGCTGGATATGAAGTTGATTGACACGCTTCATCTCTAATCATTGTGGAATCCACGCTTTTCCACGAATCGTAGATCATCATTCAGAGACAGGTCCCACCTAACACTGCGTCACAATGATAAGGGTGGAGCGTGGAGAAAACAGGTCCTCTTTCGAAATGTGCTAAGTATGGTGCTGGGCTTTGAAAATGTAGTAGAAAATGGATGTATGCAGTATACGGGGAAAGGTTTACGTGGTGATTAAATCTTTACTTTTGTTACATTGGCACTCTGGTGAAGGGAATGTGGTTTCAAAGCTTCTGTTATGTACAATTTCTGAAGGTATGTAATCCATTTGTTTTACAAGCACTTCCAGAGTGAATGTGAACCTTGTTCTACGTGCCTCCTCTCCGCCTTTAGCTCTGATTTGTTGCGATGCTGGGGCATCTTCTGTAAGGTCTGAGAAAGTGGGGAGAAATGCATGATGCACTCTGAAAATTAGTTCTTATCGGAGGGATGTGACACTAAATACACGGTCAGAAGAAGGCTAGTCATCTAAAAGTGAATATTTTGTGTTGTACAGTTACATATTCTCAGTCTGGGTGTGTTCACTCGTTTAATACATGTCGAATTGAAATAACGCGCAACATTGCATAAAAGGTTCGTTCATGTTTAAAAGAAAATCCATGTTACCTTGAACTTGGCTGAGGTTATCTGTGACTGTGCGGTATGTCGACACCTTCTGATTTCACTTGTTTGTTTTGCTGCATTACACGAGGAGGAGCGCTATTGTATCCGTGGGAGGCTCGGGAATGGGCTTCTGTAGATGCAGGGTTAAGGAGAGCTGCGTTGTGGAAACTAAAGGAAAAGGGAGGCTTCAAAAAACATGTTGAATGTTATTATGATTAGTGCCATCAGTTTATGCATAGAAATCTGTAACAGAAGCTGACAGATGTTGAACACTTTGACAAAAGTGTGTTGTATTTCCTACAGGTCATGTGATTTTGAGGCTTCGGCGTCTGGGTAGTTTTCAGGTTGATTTAGTGGTATTCCCCCACCTTGCAGGGAGAAAGCGTTTAAATTTAATACTGTTCATGTGAGCATGTCCAGTCGGATTGGTTTCATTTTGTACAAAAACTGCCAAATACTAAGACATTATTATAAGATTGTGTTCAAAACATAATCGGATTTCATTCATCCATGATTTTATGATTGGCTGTGTCCATCCTTACCACCAGCAAGGTTTTTGCTTTCGTTTGTACCTGACCATGTGCTGTCCTTGTGGCAGATGTAACTAAAGAACCTACGGTATTATGCACTCTGTGACGCAAATTAGTGGAAAGTCGAAAATTTGCAAAGAAGGGCAAAGTAAATTGATTAGGAAACTAAAAAGCGTACAACAGCTGTGCCTTAATACTGTAGGTGCATTTCATCCTAGGAAAAATACCCGTTGCTGTTTACGCACTGCCTCTGGGTGTTTTATCTCATTCTACATGTTTTTCAGTGTCTTTCGTAGTGTTTCAGTTATTCTGCGTGGCAGTTATCTCGACAGAAAAAGAAATGTAGTCTAATCTCTTCTATGACACATTATGACTAATCAAATACATTTTTAAAAACGCTGTAAAAAAGGTCATTTGTCCATTACAAAATCCACCACACCAGAAATTTGAAACATGAGGCAGGAAAGTAGAATGTCTTTGATTTATCAAGACGTTTCTAAGAGTTTATTTCACAATGATGCTTTTCTGGAAAGGTTTCACTTATGTAAAACAGTTTTATTTTTTGACACGGTAACACAAATACTGTTCTGAATTTTAAAGAATGAGTTTTTATGTTTTATTCTCCTCATCATCTCTGAGTACTTCTAAGGCATCTGTAACATCCTGAATATTTGAAGCTGAACAAATATTTAACAGGATTCCCCCTGAATTGTGTAGAACAAAAGTCTTATGGTTGGTCTGTTGACATTTTTAATGGGTCTTAGATTTGAATAAAATAATATTTGCCTCTTTTAAGCTTTGTTAAGGTGCCTGTAAAAGCACAAGTCTATTCAAAGCAGAATGATGATAGAAGAAAAGCACTTCTGTATTTCCAGCTTACAAAAAAGTTTTTCAACAGAATCCTTTCATGTACATTATCAATTTTACTGGGACTTATAGAACCTAAAAACTCCAATACATATTCTAAACAAAGCCCAAATACAGTAGCATTCCATGGAGTCCAGCACATGTGTTCTGCAACACTAATATAGTAAAATATTATGGTTTCAGGACAAGCAAGCCAGGAGATAGATGTTTTTTTCCCTTAGTGCCTCAGATATGGTCAGAATAATTTACCTGTCTGTTTTTGTTCCATCAGATATAATAACAGTAATCATTTTAAAAAAATCTCTTCAAGCTATTACATTGCTAAGGTCAATGTAAAATGAAAATATGACCATGACCAGAAAAATTACCTATTTCTACCTAGAGTAAATCTAGTCACATGCTGACATAACATGTTCTACTTAATTAGACTTGCAATAATATAATAATTGAAGAAAAAAAAACTACAAAGAGCCCCAAACCTGGTTTTGAGAAGTCACCAGATTAGAAGTGATGAATTATAGTCATTTTCAAACCAGCTTTTTACTCTATAGATGCAGGTCCTAAAATGTTAGCATTACTATTTCTTTAATGAGTAGCTACTGGTTTTTTGTAACGTATTTGGATTAAGGTCAATCTCAGTGGTCAGTAACTCCCTCTCAGATTTAAATTTATTCCATTTTTAACATTTTTATCATTGAGCATATTGCAACTTAAAAAGCATATAAAAAAAAGAAATGGCTCGCAATTGTTATCTCAGCTACTCTGAAATGTTTCTAGCAAATGTAAAAACACATGTACAAGCTGTAATATGTCATATAACAAATGAAGTTGTAATATAATAATATGTGTGCTATTTAATTGTAACCCAACTTAATTTGCAATAACTGAAGCTTCATCCTGAAGCTCGGTATTAATATGTATGAAGATGTGATGTGCTGTGCACTTTGTGTTTTTTATTGCTGTGTAAGAAAGAATTGGATACTATTGTTTTGAGGAACTAAACTCACATGATGCAAGTTAAAGTTTCAGGAGTCATGGAAGCAGGCCAAGTACATAGTATATAATGTAACAGAAATGATTGGCTAAAGAAGCACTTTGAACCTGGAGTCACATAAATATGTGTTTTACAGGAGAGCACATGGAAATAAAAAAATAAAGAGTGAAGAATCCTGGAATAAAAAGACAAAAATATTCAAAGAACCGGAAATCAAACACTATCAAGATGGAAAAGAAAGAAAGAAAGCCAAGTTATTTTGCAAGGTAAGCTGAATGTTATCTTCATTGCACTTCATATTAAGCAGCACACTAAACCTGTACTTCAGTCTTCTGTGATACATTTGATGCTTGTCTATAAACTTAGGTTAACCGTGCAGGTTGTTCATTTAGTTCGTTACAAGATGCAAACAAATACATCTGTTACCACAATATTCATTATTTGCTAGACATTAAGTCATGCAGAGCTTTTGTTTACAAGCCTAAAACATAACAAGTAAGAGAAAATTCTCTGTAATTTGCAAGGTATTCTTAAGTGCATGACAGATAGTTTGAGTTTTGAAAAGATATTACCTGTGTTTTAGTGATCTCATTTTTCATTAGGTTTTTCATGGGCAGAACTATTGAAATTAATGATTCATGTTCAGATTTTGGAAGTTAAGCAAGGCTGAGTTTGTTCTGTGCTGGGATGGGAGACCTCTGCATCACTGATTCTCATCCCTGGTCTTGGGAGATAACCTGGATAGAAAGTATTCATTCCACCTGGGCTTTTACACACTATTGCTAATAATCGACTTAATTTGCTTGTTTATTGTGACTTTTTCTATGTATTTCTTCTTGCAGTTCTTGGTTTAAAAAATATTGTGCTTCATGTGTTTTGTTTCCAACATCTTCAGCATTTAAGAAATAAATTGACATGTAAACAGCTCAGCAAATTGAAATCAGTTCAAATTTACTGGTTTTAGAACCAAAAGATACATGTCCCAACAGGCTTGTGAATCAGAGCCCTAAGAATCCAGCAGCAAACAGGTTAAATGGTGTTGGTAGACCACTCTTTGGCATTCTTCCACATGGACCTGAATTTCAAAGCCAGTACTGTGGTGTGTTGACAAGAGCTGCTATGTCTGTTCATGGAGAAACACCTTGTCATCTGGATTTTGCTCCCCCCAAGTGCTAAATCAAAGGTTAATTGATTTCAGTTTTCTATTTAGGCCATATTTGTAAATTTGCATTCAGCTCTATTGAAACTGTAGTTTATTGTAATTGCTATCACTGTATAATATAGTTTACTTTGAATTTCTCGCATTCATTGGTTTCATCCTACTACATCCAACATAATTGTACAAATGACCATTTTGTTTTATGGATGGGGGTTAGCCTTTTTTTAAGAGAGCTGGATTGTGTTCTTACTTCTTTAATGAAAAACTATGAAGAAGGCCAGCATAAGAGACTGAATCTGAAGTATTGCATAAAAAGCATAAAGTACCCTGCCCCCCTTTGCATTTTTTTTAACCTGATTTTCTCGTGGCCCATAGAATCATGGCCTCTGTGTCGTAGTATTGTGACTGAAGCAGTTTGCTTAATATAAATTGTAATGATGAGAAAATCAATTTTTTGGATTAGCATGTAACTGATCCTTGAAAAATAATTCTAGTTTTCTTTTGCTCGAAGAGTAAACAGTTTTTAATGAGATTTGTTTTTTAGTTTTTCTTAATGTTTCGGAGTTACAGAGCTGTTTCTCACTACCCAAAACTGCAGACTGGGTAAGATGGACATTAGTTAAGTACGACATGCACTCATCCTAAATGTACTGTATAGGGTGGCAAAGAGAAAGAATTGATTAGCTAAGTAAGTGCTTCCTAGACTCAGGCAATCAGCCAAGAAGAAACTGCACTCAGCATGTCTGGACGCAAATTTAAAATGCTGTATCTTACGAAGCTCTGTGAAGAGGTCCAGAAGTATGCAGCATATAACAGTGTGTACTGGTGAGTTAACTAATTTTATTGTAAAGTCTGTAAAGTCTCTGTTCAGAAACATTTGCATTACAGGTATTTGGTAGAATACAAAGGAAATTGTTATATTTTCAATTTTTATCTGATAACCTTTCATGTACAGCAATTTCTAAATTAAATGAAGGTTATATTAATGTTTTATCCTCATAGTCAAGAGAAATCTGCAATGCTGGTGATGTGCTGCATTAAACAAGCCTGTCCAGAACAAACACAGTCATTTTGGCACTGCATAGGTTTTTTTTTCTAGACGCTTCTAATGCTGTTTGCTTAATGCCTATTGTTTGCCACTATCATTTTTCATACTATTTATGACATACAGTACATTAGGCTGTCTTATGTTGTGATATTTTTGTGGTAGTAAAAACTAGATGTCCTGTATAAAAATACAAGTTGAGCGTTGAGAGTTGGATTTTACTTATCTGGTAATATTTCAGATTTCAGACTATTATTCATTATAGCACTGTTTGACTCAATGTTATCTAGTACAGAATTCTCCCCTATAGATGCTTTTGATGAGAGAGGCTTGTTATAGTTCTTTTCTGGGGTTAATCTTAATTTTACTGGTGCATAAAAGGTTTTAATTGGAAGTAAACTCAAGAATGAGCTATTCAAAACTTTATAAAGTGACAATACAAATCGACATATATCAAGTTCATTGTATGCAGAGGACTGATTTATATTTCTGCTTAAAAATGAACATGCAAGCACTTCATGTAGCAATAAGATATTTTTCTGTTATTGGTTTTGGTTCACAGATTATATTTTGGTCTAATATGTACTGTAAAGCTTTTTGGGGATGCAGTGTAGTTTCCAGATACAACCCGTTCCTGCCCTGTATCAGCGGAGTAAAAACTAAAAATCTGTTCTAAGAAATTAGATAATTTGTACTGAAGACTAGCTAATTTGTAGAATATTTTTTACTTCAGTGACAAAGTTATATACTCATTCAGGGACCATTCCAATAGTTTTTGTAGTGCTGCTCAGAGCTACAACTGATGAACAGTAGGTCTGATGACTTAACAGTTTAGACAGATATATTTGTGTGCTGCTCTGTAGATAATGGTTTGAGAAAAGCCCACCCTCTTCCATTCTGAGATAAGTAGAGACCTTGGTCTGTTTTTTATATGAAGCACAGAAGAGAACCAGAAGAGGAAGGAGAAAGGGAAATGATTTCTGTTTTTTTCTTTTCCTTTCCCAGGGCAGGAAGGCAGCTGTTTATTATTGGTAACCTCTAAAACTGGGACTCCACAGTTCTTGATTTTCCATTAAAGATTTTGCTGACATGTTACTTTTTCACCCATGAAAGTGTTTAGTTGAGTACTAAAGTTATGTACTAAATATTCACATCCAGAATCCTGACATCATTTCAGACTGCTTAATGAATCTTTCTTTGTTTATGCATTGTTATTGTCAGGTACAGAATTCTCCTCTACATATACATTGTTTGTAATTCACAATTATGGGACATCTTTGGAAGGGGGTGAATAAATTTGTAAGGCACTGTATATTGCTTAGAATCAAAATAAACCTCCTTTCCTATTGCTTATATTAAAAAAAAAACATGTGGGAAGCCTTGGAGGAACAAGGTTACATTAAAGTACATTTAAGTAACATTTAAGAATTGAACTGACAGATTCAATTGACTGAGTTCTTGAATTATTAATGAATTATTAGTTTATAAAAAAATACGAATTTGTCAAAGTAATTTTGACTACTGAACATTCTAGTATCATAACAGTATTAAAAGAAGTATTCTTGTAGCAGTGACATTTGGAAGAAAATGCAGTAGCACTAAACCATTAAACATTCACAGTTTCACTTCTTATCCTCCACCTACGTTGGGGATATGATCCTAAAAACACTTTATAATTTAAAATCTTTACTGTTCCTTGAGATGTAAACTTATTGAATATAGGGTCATAGGGACCTGTGTTAAAAAATAGTAATAAGATTATATAATAAGTAATAAATAACAATTAAGTTAAATTTTATGGTGAAATAGTAACACTGCTGTTGCATTCTCTTGTGAAGGATTTCTGTATTGTGGGCCAAGGTAATAGACATTTGTTCTCTTTTGGGTATATTATTAAAGGATTTTTGTAGTGTCTTCATAAGTTAAATGAACTGTAGATTATGGAAAATCTACAGAGTAACTGTGAGTGATACTAATCATATGAAAGCTCAAAGCTCAATGAGCATATACAATACAAATGAATCGACATAATGCAAACCCTCGTAAGAAGAGATTCAACTGAATATGAACATCTTTAAAAAAATAATAATTTGTGTCAAGCATGTTGCCAACATTTTATAATTTCTTGTGTATTTTCTGACCTATTGGAAACCAGGCCACAAGCCTTCTGTTTGACTCTATTAGAACACAAAGGTTCCAGGAGCAGGTACTCTGTTCCTGGAGGGTGTAGTGAAGTGATGGCTTTAATTTATTTGGGGTGTTGACTAAAGTCTGACTGTATGAATTTCATTCATCGGGTGAAATTATAAGTGGGATAACTAGGCACAGAATTTATTTTTTTCAGAGAAAGTTTTCGGCATAATTATGTTTATAAGTCAGTACATCTCTCAGCCTGATGTTTCCTGGTCTTATGTTTGTCTCCTTGAAACTCCGAGAAAGGTGCTCACAGTCATGCAGTTGATTAGCTTGTCAAGTTGCCAATTTTTAAGTGAGTGAGAAAGCAAATTTTCATTTTTGTGCAGCACTTTTTAAGTCCAGTGTGAACAGTTAGCAGTTGGCTGTGATGTCTTCAGGTGCAGTGTTCTTCCTCATTAGTTGGTCATTCTAGATTACTTACCAGTGACCATCAGCCTAACTGCATGTTGTCCATCAGTCTAACTGCAACATGGATCCCTCTGTTGGAGTTGCAGGAAAGGAGCATTGAGGTGTTGGGCTCTTAATCACTGAAGATGTCAAGATGGAACCAATTTATGATATTCTTGTTTGTGTCAGTCAGGACAAGCTATTAATCATCGAGTTTTTTCTCATCCACATTCAAAGGAGCTAAGTTTTGTCAACATCATTTTCTTTTCAAGACAACAGAAAGATTATTAAAAATGTTTCTGAACACTCACTTCTAAGCGTAATTATAAGTCTTGCTGCTACATGGGTGTCTGTGTCTGGTCATGGTTGCTATGTTTGTTTAATAGTGAAGTTAACTTGGTCCAATAAGACAACAATTAATCCAATAGGTAATTAAGAGCTGAGATGGAATGAAAACCTTTAGGGAGACAATGATGTTTCAGGATCACATGAGCATAAGGAGACCTTTTCTTAAAACCAAATTATGGCAGATGTCCTTCCTAAAAAAACACATGGAAATTAAGCCAATGTCTGTTTCAGACCATGACAAACCAGCCATTTAATCTCTTTTCCAATCAAATTTACTTTTTCTGTGAATAGTTTAAGTACTCTCACTGGCCAAAATGATCAGAACCACCATCAACATGTTGTAGGGTCAGTGCAAGCTGGTGGGGGTGATTCAGGAGTGGAGGAGAAAGTGCGGATATTTGTTTCAAAGGCCTTGAAAATTTGATTTATGCAAGTGTCTTGGCAAAATTGTAATGCCTGATAAATTCCTTAATTGCATTTTTAAGCCTTTAGACCTTTTCTCCATTATGATTTACTGGATGTGGTGAAAAAGCAGATATAAGTATTATTTCTTTTCATTTTAGTTCAAGCATTTGTTTTGAACAGAGCACAAGGGGAAGAGTGTTCTAACCCGGGCTTAATGACTATGACACTGAACAGTGCATTGAGCCATCTGGTCTCATTTGCTGTAGTCTGCTGCCAGATTAGATTTCCCAGTAACATATCTTAATTTGTTCTAATCAAATTAAAATACTTTTTTGAAAACCAAAACATGGTCACAGAGAATGATGGATTGGAAATAAAACAAAAGTATTTATATATATATACAGCATATGTTGTTCATATACATGTCATTAATTTGAGTTTCATACAGTGCATAACATACAATATTATTCACCTTGGCTCTGTCCTCAATAGTGAACTGCAGTTAACTTACAGTTTGCACACTTTTCTTTAATATTTTAACTCTGAACAGAAATATTGTGATCTCAAATTGGAATGGTGGTTGGTAGAGTTCTTCATTGTTTAAAAATCTAGTATTTTTCAAATTTAAATGACTTGATGTGAGAAAATATGAAAAACTTATTAAAAATGTACAGCAGTTAACTGGCATTGCTACAGTTTGGTAAAAGCATGTTTCTTTTCTAAACTGCCTACTGCTTGTAAAAAAGGAGATCCTGATATTCTGCAGAAGTAAGCCCTGAAGGCTATCTTTAATATTCTTGTAAACTTGTTTTTCAGGCTGAAGAAGAGAAAGCAGATTAAACAAAATTCAGAGAGAACCGCAGACAAATCATCTGAAGGCCTCCAACCACAAACAGGACAGGTTAAGCAGGATAAAACCTCTATTTCAGAAGCAGGATTAAGTCTACCTTCAGACTTGAAGAAATCAACAAAGGAAAACACTTCTGATGAAGACAAGAAAAAGAAGAACTGTCAAAGGAAGGAGATAAGACGCTCAGATCTGAAAAAGAACTGTGGTGTAGGTAAGGTAGAATTTTTATTGTATCCTTGTGGTTTATTCTCTGCATTAAGCATCCCTTAGACTTTGAAACAAACATATTACAGTTAAAAACTTGAACAAAACATATGAACAGATTTAAATTTTTAAAACTTATTCTTACATGATCTAATGGATTAACATTCAGAGACAATAATAATGCATTTAGAGATTAAATCAACTTTTCCCTTTAGACCACTAAGTCTTGAATATGCTTTGAAACTGTCGATAAGCTGGGTCGGCATTATAAAAGAGCGAATAAAAAAAGATGGACAACTGCTTAATCGTAGACATCTGTTCAAGCTAAGTGAAGTTTTATACAGGTGGAGGGATTCTTTTTTCCTACTGATGCTGGTTTTCTTCAGTACTTTGCTCTATATGACTGTTGGAAAAATCGAGAATCTGACAACAGTCTAAAGGATGGACAGTACATTTTCTAGTAAATATACTGCAGCAGACTGGAAGTAGGAGGAAAAGGCTAAATGTGGGCACAGAGGAAAACTGTCAGGAAGAAGTAGCCATGACAAGCTGTTCTTGTTAACTGTAAAGTTTTTGGAATCCAATCCAATATTTGCATATTCAAGAATAATATAGGATTGATTAAGATGAAATGAATGGATATGGATGAGAGGGAGTTATATCAGACAGGAGTATGGTTATTATTGGGGTACTGGGATCAGTTCTAGGACTACTGTTTTTCTTGGTCTAAATCAATAATCTAGAATCCAGTATAGAACATACTATAGGCTTGTCATATTTACAAAACTGCCAAAATATTTTTAGTTGTAAATTATGCAAGATCAGCAGTGCATCATAAGCAGTACAAAACTCAGTAACAGACTCTTAATGGAAATACAGGGTCGTACATGCAGGTACATGATGGTATTGAACTGGAAGAAGCAGTATATCATTTTCTTCAACTAGAGAGTAAAGGGAAAGCAATAAAAAGATCTATAAAAACATGGTTTTCTTGCTAAGAGTGTGCAGTTTATATAAAGAAAATTCATGTTAGATTTCTACAGTGTTGGTCACCAGCCTACAGCAAAGATATTAACTGCTCTATGGGCAATACAGTGGAGAGCTGTCGGACTAATTCTTGCTTTGAAGGGGGTTTCATACTCGGGCAGACTAAACAAATAAACAGGTTTACACGGAAACGGACCAGATTGCCTGGAATCTTGATATACTGTAGGCATTTCAAAATTTTAAAGGCATTGACTAAATCACCTCTTGGGACACTTTTGAGATCAGCAGTAATATTTACAGCTTAAACAAAGACAGAGATTGAAGGCCAAAGAGTGAGGCTTCTTTTGCTTTTTAAGGACGTACTTGCACATTTTTCACATTTTCCTTTTGCCTTTCCAAATTCTGCTTTGTGTATCAATTATGGCTCATAAAATGAAACTCATGCCAGCTTAAGGACACTTCAAATTATTCTTCCCTTTAAACACATTTTAACATATCCGATAATTAAAATAGTAGGAACTCCTAGAACATGTTACTGTATATCCCTTTCTTTCTATGGGTGCAAGGAAGCTTACTTTGTAACAGCCCAAATTGGACAACTTGACTGTACATTTTGGGATTTTATTTTATTAATTGTTGTATTTTATTCAGCATGTGTTGTTGTGTAATGTTGATATTCCCTGTTTCAGTACCTTGGTTCTTACAGCCACAGAGCCCATACATAGTTTGGCAGAAAGACCGATAAAAGCTTTTTAATTTCACCTATCAGTGAATGCTAATAAGAATTATGCATAGATTAAAACATGTAGATTTATAAAATACATGTAGAGGGAGAATAAAGAAATTCAAAATGGCCTTTAAAGTAGCATTAAGAAATGCCAGAGTTTTTTGTGTGGGGGTGGGGATTTCTTGAAACCTAGCCCTTTTTGACACCCTTTGCAAATATTTTGCTTTCTGGCAGGGGAAGTGTCATGCATGGTATTTGAGAAGTTAAGCCTGTGAGTATAAGATATCAAAATGTGAGTCTTGACATCTCTGAATTTATTGCCTCTCTCCTAATTTACAAAAAGGGTCTGATAGGAATTATTCACTGCCTTCTCCTATACAGACCCTCCTTTTACTTAGGTACTCATCAAAACGTAGATTGAGTTGATGTTTATTCTTTCAAAATAATTTTTCACAAGCAAAAAATGACTCGCTTTTCAATAGGGTTACAGCTATATTTACAAAACATGTTTATTGGTTCTTTAATTTCAGTGTTCAAAGAACGCATGTTCCTTTTATTTTGCACTTAGTGCCTCCATAGTTTTGATACGTTTCTGCACCCACAAACCTTTAAATATCCTGCATTTATCTTTATTCAAAGTTTTTTTTCCCTCCAAAATAGGTTATTGAACCTTCTAAAGTGGAAGACAGTAAGATTCATACCAATGTTAAACAGGCAGTGCCATTTCAGTTGTCTTTTAATAGTCACTGCAATAAATTAATAATAAATATACTGTATAATCTTACAAACTTTATTTTATACAATGTAGCACCTTTTAAAGGTTTCTTCTCTAAGTGCTTTACAGGAAAAGGAAGCTTATTAGTGCCACAGAGAAAAAAAAAATCACATCTTGTTTATGCAAGACAATTATTGCATTTAAATAGTTAATTTGTGAACAATAGTTGCCTACTATATTAATACTGTATATCACATTGTACAGTATATGCAATAATATTGTCCTGTGCAAAGTAGCACTGCTTTTAACAACAGTTGAAGATCGTCATACTCCTGTTTTTTTGGGGAAAAAAAATAATCTAAAGGACCATGTGTTCTGTGTTTTGTATACATGAAGTACAACATCGTGTCGGTAAGCATTCCCATGTTAAACACTTATTGTTTTAGCCATTTCTGTGACAAGTACAAATAATACAAATAACACGGCTTTCTAAACATTTGTTCTTCTTCACGTGAAGCTGCAGAAATGTGCTGTATGTAGGTTTTTGCCTACTTTTTAGACATTGAATGAAATACATGCATGATGACTTGAGATAGTAAGACTTACACCAACTGTTATTGCTGGTAACAGTTAATGGCAAACCAACAATGTGCAAACTGTATAACAGGCTGTGTGCCATGTGCTTCTTCTTTGACATTACCCTGTTTCTTTACATTCACGTCTGTGCAAATGTACACACAAATACTGTTTCTTCTCCCCTTAAATTACACCTTTCCTGCATTTTGCTGTATAATTCCAAATTCAAATGCATTTGATTTCAGCATACTTTAGTCTAAAACCATTTGAGGTCTTTGTCTTCGCTCTTCTAATTCTGGTCTCCTAACTTTCCCCCCAGCCCATCTACATTCTGTGGGTGATGGAGCTTCTCCTGTTTTGCCCCCAAGCTCTGGAACTCTTACCCCAAGGATACTGTATCAGAGAGTCACCTTCTCTAAACTCCTTCAAATCCAGACTCAAAACCCTCTTCTTCAGAAAAGCCTTTACTTAACTAGTTCCATTCTTCACCCCTCTGCTTTTCTTAGTACCACCATCCACGGTCTCCTCTGTATATTGTAATTGTGTTTTATCTTGTGTATTCTCCTTATTTATTGTTGTTGTCATCCTGTAAAGCGGTTTGAGAAGCCACCTTTAAAGGCGCTATATAAAATAAAGTTTATTATTATTGTATTTAAAGATTTAACGAGTGACCAACAGTAACAGTAAGCCAACAGTAGGTATTAAGACTGTCAAGTCATTGTAAATGTATTCCATTCAATGTTTAAATAATCGGCAAAAACCCACGTACGCTACATGATTCTGCAGTTTCAAATCAAGATGTACGTTTGGAAAGCCATGTCATTTTTCTTGGTCACAGAAACAGCAAAAACAATATGCGTTTAACGTAGGAATGCTTACAATGGTGTTGTACTTCGTCTACAAAAGACAGAACACATTTTGCTCCTTTATATTATTTTTTCCAAAAAGTTGAGTGTGACAATATTCTACTGTAAATAAAGTCAATGCTACTTTGCAGGGGACAATATTATTGCATGTGCAGTACAATGCAATATACAGTATTAATATAGTAGTAGGCAACATTGTTCACAAATTAACTTGTTACTTTTCTCATATAAACAAGAAAATTATCTCATTTGTACAAGATTTTCTTGTTTTATATGAGAAAAGTATCTCATTTATACAAGATTGTATTTTCTTGATTTTTTTTTTCTCCATGGTGCTAATAAGCTTCTGTAGAAAAGTTATTAAAAAGTTAAAAGAAAACTCACAAAGAACTGAGATAAAATAATTTGTAAAAAAAGTAACCCAAGGGATTGGAAATGTAGAAGAAGATAGACACAGACACCAATGAAATAAGTCTTTCTTAAGGTAATAAGGTTTTGAATGTACTCAGGGTAGGTGACTCTCTGATATCCTTGGGGATAGAAATCCAGAACTTTGGAGTGTAGTAGTAGATGGTCTGTCGCCCATAATATGTAGATGAGCATGGGGGACAAACAGGAGACCAGACTCGGATGAACAAAGGTTGGTAGGTGGGGAGTAGGAAGATAAAGTAATGTAGAGCCTTAAAAGTGAGTATGAGGATTTTGAAAACTAGCTTGGGATTCTGGCTGTCAAACTTTGGACACACTGAAGTTTATTTAGTATAGATTTAGATACCCCAATGAGTAGGGCATTGCAGTAGTCAATTCTATAGACAGAGACAACATAGTCCGACTATTTCTGAGATGAAGAAATGATGTTTGTACAATATTGCACACGTGGGACAAAGGACGAAGGTCAAGCCTGGATCAAATATCACTCCCAAATTCTTCAATTTAGACTTAAATTCCAAATACAGTGCCATCCCTGATCCAGATAGGGTTACTGCATTTGCTTTAGGTAGCTGATGGGAGATGTCGAGATGTATGACTTCAGTCTTGTCACACTTTAAATGAAGGATTTGAATCATACAGGATTTAATGTCATATATGCAATTAGAGAGTACAGAAATAGCTACTTCAGTGTCAGGTTTAGTATA